TTAGTGTTTTGACTCTAGGAAATGCTTGTAAGCTGCTGTATGCATTAATCTCACAATGTCTGTATTCCATGCTATAAGCCAGGAAATATGTAAGTTTTGCTTTATAACTTTGAAAATGTTTGCTCTGAACTTATGAACTCAGGCATGGGAATCATACCCCCTCAATCCCCTGTTCATCCAGAAGGATTATCAAAATCAGATGTCATCAAGGACCATTGCAATTTAAAGACTTGGTTAATGGCCCTATCACACCTGGGAAATGCTATATACAAGCAAGAGCTTGTTCTGTGGACTTGGGAGCTGAATGAAGAAAATAAGACTAAGCCACAGGAAAATTTTCCAGCTGTTTGGCTGTTTGAACTCTGAAGGGCCAGCGATTCACAGGAGCTGCCTCCTCGGGCTGCCCTGAGAGCACTTTGAATGGACAGGTCACTACAACTCTGTCACTCTTAGGATTTAGATGGTAACTTATTTGTGTGTATATGTTTGCTTGCTTTAACCTGTCAATAACTCTTATTCCTTTTTCCTAGTTAATAAACTGTTAGATTGTTTATTACAGGATTGGCTACAGGCATTGTCTGTGATGTAAGATCTAGGACACCGATTGATTGGGGATAAATGACTGGTCTCTTGGGACTGAAGCAACCTGATCGTGGTGTGATTTTTTATATAAGTGACCATTTATCACTAAGTCCAGTTTGTCTAGGTGGCAAGATAGACTGGAGAGTCTATGAGGACTGTCTGTGACCGCATGGTAAGACTGGTATAGTGGTCCAAGAGTTCACATTTGGTACTGGCTTGGTGAAATCTCGTTACAGAACACATCACCAGTTTGGGGTGCCTGCCCTGTTTTCAACAGTCTGCCCTGAGGGAGGCACTCACAGTTGTGAGCCACTTCAGACAGTATGACCTATATAATCCCTTATCCCCAGGAGCTGGGGCTCTCAGGAAAATACCAAAATCACAAGAGCTGGCAATGCTGTACTTGCAGCTTCTGCATTAGGCTGCCAGACTACTTCCACTTGGGATTTATTTTTAATGCCACTAATTTAATGCCAAATTCTACTACCTTTATTCATGCTGAGTAACACTGTAACAGAGTTACTGTGCTGTCTGTCTGGATGAGTGGGTGTCTCTTGGCACAGGAAGCCCTTATTGGGTGTGGCTTCTCCCAGAGAGGAAGAACTTCTGCCTCAGGAAGTAACTTCGAGAAGTTGAGGTATATAATTTCTGCGATGGTGAGAGAGAGGAAGCAGTTGTTGATACCAGCGACACCAGTAGCAGGAGTGGGGACTCTGCCTGGATGTTCTAACTTGCCAATAAGGAGACTGTGAGGTTGCATAACAATAACCTACTGTACCTGAGGTCCCATAGATGTTGGTCTGACTGCTTGTGGAATAAGGTGCTGCTCAGAGTAAGGATGAGTGATTGATAGAAACTGGGCCTTCCCAGTCAGAATTTCAAGTGGCTGAGTGAAAAGAGAAAGTCCTCTGTGTTTGTAGGGCAAACACGCTCTCAGATTCACAGTGGACAGCTATGACCAAAGACAGAGCCATGTTTTTGTGGCTGTCATTATTTGACAGCACTTGGCTGATGTTCCCCTCTGTGCCAAGGGCCAGCACCAAGCCTGTGCATCAGTTTAAGCCATAGTGCACAGGTCTTGTGCTGACCCCTGGCATAAGGGATGAATTTCACCCAAAGTGCTGTCAAATGCACAAAATGAGCAAACTGACAAAATGGAAAATTGTTTTCTCTGATCTCTTTCAGTGACAGTAACCTTATGTGTTACTTAGTAGACTAACGGTAGGTAAAGTAAGTATAGACAGAAATGTGATTTTTAAGTTGTCAGTGTCATTTTAACATATTACAAAGAGAGAAATGAATATCCTTTCAACCTACTCCCTCTTACAGCTTCCCAGCGTATCTTGTTCTTTTGGATCCATTTCTTAAATTGTAAGCTCTTTAGGGCAGAAGTTTTTTGTTTGTATGTGTCTTGCACAGTGCTGAGTACACTTATGTCACTTAAAAGATGATGATGATAAGTAGTATAAGATGGGGCTGCAAAAAAGTCACTGTAAACTGAAGTGGATAGCTTGATGCAATAGTCTCCATCTCCTTAATCTTAGACACAGTGCAATGCTTTTCCAGTGGTGGGATTTTTGCCAAGGTGTTCATATATGTGATGTAACTCCTTTTGGCTATGTTTCTCAGCTGGCAGATGGTGGGGGGCAGTGAAAATGCTGCTGGCTCCCTCCCTCAGAGAAGGCAGTGGTCATGAAAACAATATTTGGCTCCTTCCCTATATAGTGAGGGAAGGGAGAAGGTAGATTGGAATGAAATTGCCCTGCCCACTGGCTCCTCCCTTTGCCGGAAGGCAGAGGTGAACTAGTGCAGCTACTGTTTGCTCTCTACCTCTTCGGGCTGACCTTAAAGCATGTATTTCTTCTGTAAATATCTAAACCATCATCAAGTACCTAAAGACTCCAGAGAACTTGGTAAGCAACTGAAGATCTGATAGCTTATTTTTAACCCTTTGCCTGTATAGTTCATTTATTTTAAGTGCATCTAAGCTCTGAGAAATGACAAATGTGCTCTGGCAGCTAGGCTTGTGAGTGAGGGGGTAGTGATGTATCACATCCCAAAGTGGACAATGATAATTGTCTCTCAAGAATTGCAGACTAATTGTTTTCTCCTTTTACCTTTGTTACTAGATTTCAAGTTGCTCTAAAGGAAAGAAAATAAGTGCTTGCAAAACCTAGCAAGATAAAACAGTTGAATTGGAGCAATGCAATTAAAATGAACACCTATCTTTAATTGCAGGAGAATGTCAAAGGCCGCATGGTTTCAGACTGTTCAGAACTGCTTTTTCTTCTGTGCTTCCTAAGCAGGGGGGAAGGGAGGTGGGAAGGGAGAGGGGGAGGGGCAAGGGGAAGGAACTCTCCACTTCCACCCTATATCACCTCACAACCATCAAACCTTTTCCCAGACCTGACACTGAATGAAAATCAAACCTCTGAGGCATGCAAATGTTTTTTAACAGACTAGTCCAGCTTTCTTCCCTTCCAAAGGAGAATGAGACTGTACGACCATTCCTTTAGGCTCACTCATCATGTCCTCTGCCTGTAGTGGGAAAATGTCCTAGACACATACCCAGCAGCCTACAGTCTACTCCATGATATGCAGGCAGTCTCTCCGTACTTCTATATGGGCTGGCCTTTCTGCTCCAGTCCTCCCCTGAGGTCTTCTGGTGGGAAAGCAGCTTATGTCTGAGTCAAGGATTCCATTACTTCAATGCATTCCATGCTCTAGTGTAGAGCAGAAATGCTCGGCTTGGTCACATTACAGCTGTTGCTTCTGATCCTTTAATATTTTTTGGTACTCTTCAATCTCCATTTGCAGACCAGAAGAAACAAACAGAAGCAAGGAGCAGAGCAGCTAGCCATCCCAATAAGCTCTTAGAAAGCTGGAGGCTTTCCTGTTTTCTCATGGTGATGTTGAAGGGAGAAGGTCGCAGGCTTCAGAATCCTGCTGGGGAACAAGAGGATTGTGTGGTGGAAGAAAATATCACTAGACTTGTGTGCGGAAGAGGGCAGCTGAGTGATGAGAGAGGGTAGAATGCTTGGGGCCGGGGGTCGGTAGGGGGAGGTGTGAGAGACACCGCCAAAGTTTTTATAAATAGGGTAATGTTTGGTTGCTTATCTAAAATGAATCCAAACCTGCAGAGGTTTTCCCATCACTGTTTCTAACATTTTGAAGATGATCTCAAAAACACTAGACATGAACAGAAATGTATAAAGAGGAGGTAAATAACAATACATTAAAGGATGGAGGAGGGCTTGTCAAATAAAATTGAAAGGAAACTAATGGTCAAGGGAAAAAAAGATTAAAAAGATCCCTCTTCCGCTCCCCCCCACACACCACTACAAAACCACAAAATGGTGAAAGAGAATTTAGAGGAGCAAGGGCAGGACCACATTTTTGCTCCTCCTGTATGACCCCATGCAAATCCATGGAAATAACTGTGATTGAGTAGCTATAACCGAAAGCAGATTTTAGTTGTAGGGGCCAGATTTTGTGCTCCGATATTGTGCTGCACATTTATTATGAAACACAATGGGAGTTGCATATCTGGGAGCAAAATTTGGTTCTGAGGATATTACAGTACAAACTTGGCTAATATGTCAGTTTTGACTTCTAGTCTTACAAGGGACGTGGATGTGGTGGCTGGAGAATGTGTTGGTTCACTTCATCACCTGAGCAGCCTTTACTGTAGAACCTCACTTGCAAGTGAAAGCTGCCATTTCCTGCCAGAAGCTCAGAGGGAGGGCAGATATTGCCCTTACTCTGAGTGAATTGCCCCTGAAGCATACAGATGCAGGATGTGGCAGGCAGTGTTGCCAACTCTCATGATTTTGTTGTGAGTCTCATGATAATTATTTTTCTTAAAGCCCCAGCTCCTAGAGTCAAGTGGATATGTGATGATTTCAGCCTTCATTCTTCAAGGAAGTTTCTTGTCCTCGTGGCTGTGGGAAAAGCTTCAAAATGAGACCCCAGTGCACCCTAAAGTGCTAAAAAAGCAGAAGGCAAAGAAAAAGAACACCAGATCTATTATTTTTGCATAATCTCATGATTTTAAAGCCAATCTTGTGATTTTTGGTCAGCCTGACTCATGCTTTTTGAACATTTGGGGCTGGCAATACTGGAGATGTGCCAGCAGGGGTGAATCTAATTCTATATATGAGATTTTTAATATACATTATTATGTGTAGAACTGATAGGTTTCAGGCTAAAAATATCTAGGTCTGGTTTAATATATCAGAAAAGAATCACTATTTACTTGACAGCCTGTATCTCAAAATGTTATTCAGGGTAAGAAGCTTAGAGGCACTAAGGTGATATTTAAGGGAAATTTAACCCCATACTTTAACCTAGACAGGTGAATGTAGAAACAAGAACTGAGTGAATAATTTTTAATATTTCCTCTCTTTTTCTCTTCACAGAATGTCCACATACAAATCACGATTGTCATAAAGCTGTGACACTTTGGAGTTGCTGGTAAGAGATCAATCTTCATTTCTTGGTGCCAGAAACATGACATGAGTCGGGGTTATGAAGGTTAATACCCCTGACACATAACAGGGGTCAACTCACTTCATAGCCTGTTATGATGTTCTGCAGTTTGTTCATTAATCAAAAATTAGATAGGTTTTTCCCAAAAATTTCATTTACACCATGACTCTACTCATTTGTTCAATGGTTTGCTGCCTAAGTTGTGTTTGCTTACTTGTGATTGGTCACATAAATCACATGGTACTGCTTCAGTTCCCAGACTGGATGAGTAACTCTTATAATTAGACTACAGGAGCGAATGGCTGCAGAAAGAGAATTTGAAATCTAAGTGGGTATAGTCTAATGGGGTTTAGGTGAGCGAGATTAGAATTTGTTCTATGTCAGTGTTTGAGCTAGTAAAACTGAATCTCATGAATGCCCACAGAAAACAAATGAAAAGGAGGGGCAAGCCTTGCTGGAACAAATTCATTTCAGAATCTGAATTAATAATTTGATTTTTTTTATGCAGTATTTGCTCAGTGGGGCAGAATAGAAGGGAGGCCCTAATCCCCATACAAAGCCTGATTCTCAACTGCCTAGCATTCACTTTGCACAAATGTAAATGACCACAGAGGGGGAAGAGGTGAATAATTGGCTCCACACTTCTTACATGCCTACAAATTGACCAGAATTCTCATCCAAGGGGATGAGCCTTGCTGGGGGGAGTGTGGACACAATTTCAGTGACATGTGAGTTGGAATTCCCTCAGGAGGAGAACGAAGGGACCCTAGTATCTGGGCTGAAGTGAAATCACTGACATTGGTTCTTCCAGAGGTTTTTACTGGGACTAGATGTTGCTAGGCATTCTTGGTACACCATCATGAAAGCCTAGGAGGCCCAGCAGTGAGAGTGCAAGGGAATTTCTTATCTCAGCCTGGTAGGGGAAGTCTGAACTTATCCGCTCGGGTAGCAATGGGTTATGCACCAACTTTTGTCTGAAACTTCCATTCCACAAGACTTTATTTTTATCCTGAGAAAAACAAAGCATGGAATAAAGATTATTTCCCTCATTATTATTAATTTATTGTAGATTGCAAGGCTGTTAGTTTGGTAATTTTTGACCTGAATCAACTTTCTAGTTTAAAACCTTATCTTTTTCTATGCTACCTTTGTGGTTTTTCTCTGAATACTTTTTCAATATCATTCTGTAAAGTTTGAAAATTCAACTGAAATTCAATTTAGTTTCACCTTTGCTTGTGCTTTTCATTTGTTGAAAGCATAACTATTCACTGAAAACTTGTCTTTGGGGAGTTTTTTGACAGATTTCTTCCTCTCTAGAGGAAATATCTCTATGGAGAGACCTGACATAAGGAGTTAATGTGGTGGTTCCTGCAAAAAAACATCCCAGGACATATATTTTTGTTTTAATTGGTCCTCTACAATAGGGAATTCTGGGAAGTACTCTTCCTTTGTAGAATGTGATTGACTCATCTTTGCATGGTCCTGTCTTGATTGTTGAATAGGGAGAAGTTATCTCAATAGGCCCTAAACTACATTTTATAAGTGTTTATTTTATTGTTTTTCTGTTGCTCAAGTAGTGATTCTGTTTATGCTCTTTTCTTCTACAGTAATAAAAAAAGACTGATATTTACACTTGAAAAAAGTCTCAAGGCAATTTCTTCATAAATCCTTTACGATACCAACTTGGTCACCCAGCTGCTGCTTTCCCATGACAGGGTTGTGAACACGGATGAGCTTTACAGAGACACAGCAGAGGTCTGCCACTAACTGTGCTATTTGCTGTCTTTAACACAAAACAGGTAGCAGGACTGGCGAGGAGCTGTGGTGTAACTTTCCATAAGTGTTGGACATTGCACTCCTATTCTTATCACCCACTCTGCATGTCTTGTAGGTGATGCTAACCCCAAACTAACAGGCAAAAAGAAGAAAGCATAAATAAAATGAAAAGATGCTATCAAGGAAGGTAGAAGAGGAAGAAGTCCACCCACCTCCTCCAGTCCTGGTGGGAGACAGCAGGAGAGGAGACTTTTCATCCTCCAGATAGGATGGGGAGTTGAGTAGACAGGAGAGTCTGGGCTGGCAAGAGCAGCTGCTCTCTCGCTGGTGCAGTGTTTTAAGGGCTGAGCCTGCAGGTGTGCTCCAGCTCGGTATATGCAAGAGGGAGGGGAGGCAGCACAGGCTGCTCCAAGGGCTTTCCCTCTCAGCACACTAGAGCGGTTCTGGTTGGCTGCTTTTCCCCAATAGATGTGGGAATTTGCAAGAGCAGCCAGTCAACTGGGGATTCCCATCCAAATGATAGCATTTTCACCATAGACCCAAAATAGACTCAGGAAACTTGATAAATTTGTATCAGAGGGGTAGCAGTGTTATTCTGCTAGTATCCACAAAAACAATGAGGAGTCCGGTGGCACCTTAAAGACTTACAGATTTATTTGGGCATAAGCTTTAATGGGTAAAAAACCCACTTCTTCTCCATGCACCTGCAGAAGTGGTTTTTTTACCCACAAAAGCTTATGCCCAAATAAATATGTTAGTCTTTAAGGTGCCACCGGACTCCTCATTGTTTTTTTGGGTAAATTTGTTAATTTCTTGAAACTATTTCAGTTGAATGGGATATTTTCACTCAGTTGAGAGTAGCTGAGAGCAGTTATGGCTTCCATGACATTGGAAAGTCACTGAGCGTGTGAGCCACATTTGTAAGGAGATTTAGAACTTGGATATTTTTAGAATGAAAGCACAAAGATCTCTTGGGTTTCCTGTATCATATACATTTCAGCTAACCATGTTGTCATGAAAAGCAGAGATATGGCTAGTCCTTATATGTTTTCTTCAAGCTGTTGACCCCATGAAACCTGTTAGCATTATTGGACAAACAATACCCCAGATATATAAGACCAGTGAGACTGTTGTTAAGTGTAAAGATTATTGGTTAGATTCTGCTCCCATCTAATGGAAGTACTTTAGACTTACACCAGTGAACAGAATTTGGCTTTATAGTCATGGGGAAAAATACACTTCATATTTAATTCAAATCCTTCCAAACATTAAACATGAAAATGTGTACCACGCATCCGCAATATTAAAAATAGATTTCAGAGTAACAGCCGTGTTAGTCTGTATTCGCAAAAAGAAAAGGAGTACTTGTGGCACCTTAGAGACTAACCAATTTATTTGAGCATAAGCTTTCGTGAGCTACAGCTCACTTCATCGGAGTTATTAAGACCTTCTACTGATTATGCAGTTGTAAGATCATGAGACCTAAACAAATGAACTCATCTTTATCCCAAAGGGTGTATTTAAAGGACTTCTCAGACACAAGATATAAGCAAAAGTAACATAATTACAAGAGTCAAAATCTCTCTCTCTGGCATTTGGTCAATATCACCCTAAATATTCTGGTGTATGTGTAGGAGTGGTAGGTAAGTGAGCGAAATTTGCTACGATCCACATCCTTTCCTTACAGGTTTTTGAATTGATTGAAGTACACTAAATGATTGCTCTTTGGTGACAACGCTGATCAACACTGTGACCAAGAGAGAGGACTGTGCTGTGACGTCAGGATAAAATGCCACCACTGCTATGTAATAAGAACAGTGTTTGCCCATCATTCTTCTCCTGAAGCAGTTTCTCAAGTGGTCCCTCACTACATGTGGAAGTTTTGACATGTGGAATGATCTACTTGCATCCCTCAGAGGCTGACATCCAACCCAATTGTTAGATGATTTTGCTTGGGTATGACATTCTGAACAGAGAAGTGAGCATCATATGCAGACAGGACTACATCAGAAACTATACATCTGTCTAGTATATCCATGGTATTTATATTATACCAGTTGACCATGTGCATACTTTAGGAATGGAAAATAAAAGTGCTAGCTACTCAGCTGATGTAAATCAGCTTCATTACATTCTTTTGCAGTATTTCTTGGACTCTGAAGCTCCTCATCACTGTCCACAGCCCCTTTGCATGACCTGCTTGATGTGAAGTGCACATTCTGTCAAACATTGTACCTTGCAATAAAATATCTCAAATTCTACACTGGCCTCTTTTTTCAGTCTATTTTTGCAAGAGCAGTGGCAGGGGCCTCAACTAAACCGAAATACAAAAGAGTCAACACATGCCAATGAAAGAATTAGAAAATATGGGTGTGTTGTATGCTTTTGGGAAAATGTAGATGGTGCATAAAATTATTCAGCATTTTCAATATAAACAATTGCTCTGAGTCGTGTATACCAATTACAAAAGTGTATCGTGGCCATAAAACTGTATTAGGAGGGATCATGCACTAACATATGGGAGTAACCATTAACCTTTGTTGTTCTATCTCAAACTTACAACCATTTCTGATGTAATGGATACCTAATTTATCAGTCTATCTTATATTATTATATCTACCTAATCAATGATATTTCTATAGTACCTATCATCTTAGAATCTAAGTGCTGGTAATAGGGGCTTTGTCTTATACATTTCTACAGTGTTGAGAACACTGGTGGTACTCAGTAAATAAAAAAATGCTTGTATACTGCTGGACAATGGCATGGTTGTGCTTTCGGGCTTGATTCTATCTTCATGTTTACCTGAAAAACTTCTTAACTTTCCTCTTTGTTGTGTAAAGTTTGATATGCCTGGCACAGGAGAGTTATAATACTGTAATCAGCCAGAATAGATGCTAGAAATAGAGTGCACCTATTGCAATGAACGGCAGTGCTTAATTTGTAATGAGAGGTGCTGGGGCTCAAGCAATTTTTTACCTTCATAACTGATGCAGCAACCCCAGAGGGGTTGGGGCTATGAACTGCCAAGCCTAGAGGTGCCAGGGCTCAGCCCTGGCAAGTCTTGGCCCAAGTTAAGCACTGCTGAACAAAAGCCAGGAGTTGCATTTGCAGACAGTACTCACAGCTCCAAGTTTTGATACCTTTTCACACTTTTTCACCAGAATTCTCTTAAAACTTTTAATATCAGAACTGATCTAGGAACTTTGCTTCCTTGCATTCTTCATTTGTATCTAGAATTATATGGCCGTGTTAATGTTGTGCAATCTTTTTGTGTAAAAATTCTGCAAGATTTTTGCTATTTATCACAAATGTAAAGAAGTTTTTTCTGTGCTCAGCCTTGCTATCCTAATTATTATATATGGAATCAACAGATTGAGGTAGTTGGTCATATATGTGTTTCCTCTCCAGAGCTGTACATAATTTACTTTGTTTTTAATTATGTTGCTTTATTTTATGGGCCTATATACTATGGTTCAGATCCTTGACTGATATAAATTGGAATAACTTCACTCATGTGAATAGAGCAACATCAGTTTACACTAGCAGAAGGTCTATCCCCATATGTTTGCTGTGTACTTGCAATAATTTGTAGGTACACTTCATGTGTCCAGTCTCAAAATGAGACATTCATACAACAGAGCATCTATTGTGTAGACCAAGATGGCTACTTCCAGTAGAAAGGTCCCAGGTACACCAATAACTAGAATATTAATTGTATCAAAACTGTATTCATAGGAGAGTGCTTGGCAGGACTTTGCCCACATCATGAACCACTGGTGTCACAGAGCAGCAATTTTTGCAAGGCAGTTAGATTTCTAAACCCCTAAGCAATTATTGTCATGCAGTAAAAGGATTTACCACGAGCTGCCAAATACAAAATCCTTTCATATGGATTATAATTAGCTATTGTTTGCACAGTGCTTTAGAAGTGCTAAACATTGTTATATAAAGCTTTCAACTTCTGGTTGGATCTTAGGAGCTCTAAGAGACTTAGCCCACAATACTTGCTCTTGGATTTGCTGCTATGTAGCACAACCCCTGCCAGGTGATCTAAGGCATAGATGGAAATAGCGGGGGAAAGCATCATGCCCCGCCATCTTAACCAGAAGATAGTCTTTGCCACTTCCACTGTCTCCCCCTTTTTCAGTATAATGCCCTCTCTCGTACATCAGCCACATTCAACCTCTTTATGGCAGATTAATATAGAAGTCTTAAACTTTAGTACTTCTAAATGTTCTTTAAAGTTTATATTTACAGCATGTCCTTTAATTACTTAAAAAATAAATATCTAATAGAACACCCTATTGGTGTCTACAGTATATTGTGGCTCTGTGATGGGTGGTAACCTTTTAAACATATTGAGGCAGGGAATTGGCTCAGTAAATCTACAAGAACTATGAAAGTTATGAGGTTAGGGCTAGAGGTTAGTCAGGGTACACTGTATGAAAAAGCCATAGTGGAATCATAGGAGCAATTTTGCAAGTCATTGATGTTTGAGGGAAACACGGTATGCATGGAAATCACGATTCCCATGACAACCATGACAGAATTCATACTTAATCATTATTCTCCATCTTACAGCCAAGAGCATAATGCTTCACCTTTAAACAATAAGGGGGAGATTTCAAAGGGTAGTTAGGCACCTGTCACTCCTTTTTACTTTTGAAAATCTTCCTGAAAGCATCAAAAATTCCAGATTTTTGATTAATATAAAAAAGAAGCAGTATTTAAACTCAAAGCATGGCTGCATAACTGTAAATAACAATTGTTACAAGAATGTTATGATTCTTGAAGGAGTTAAAATGTTGCTAGTTTGAAAGTGTTCTGATCCACAGATTTAAAATTAGTCTTATGAGTGTCTCATATAGAACAACTCAATCTCCTGTATAGTCTACCAAGACTTCATCAATTAATATCTTGCTTCTTTTTAAACTTGATGTTTCCCAAAATACGTTGAAGTTCAAAAAGCAATGAAAAATGAATTAGACAATTACAGGTGTTATAATTTTACTTGATTCTGAATTTAGAAAACTGACACCTTTTTAGACTTAAGGTATACTAAGCAGTGATTATGTTCTGCTATAAACAGAGATGAATAAAAAATGAACAATAACCAATTGGAGGTTCACAGTACATTGTAAGAACCCTTCGATGTATATTATCTTAAGACTTTTGTATTTGTCAGCAAAATATACTTTTTAAAGCTTCAAAGCAGTGGTCTTTGGGGAACCTGTATTTATTGCTTCTGAACATTAAAAAGCTTTTATAATGTGCTGCTGGCTAGGGCAGGATAGTTGGGTACCGCCTTAGTGCCTTGGGAATTGATGCTAGTTGTCTTCTAATGAGAAAGGCACTGAAACTCAGCACCTATGTCAAGGTGGAGTCCCTGCTGAGAAAATGACACCAAGGGAGAAAAAAGCTCCTCTTCTGGTAAGGTGCATGAATATAAAGAGACGTATAATTGGATTTCCTTAAAGACTTGGACAACTAACACTCTTTACAACTCTTCACATTGAAAGAAAGTTCTTTTCAATTCTATTAGTTCTCCAGCCTACATTTTTTAGAAAGTAAGATGTGCAGCTTCTGAAGGAA